TGGGGAATATTCCTTAAATCATATTAGGGATCCTACTAAAGTTTAAGGTATTTTCCTTCATTAAGGGATATTGGAGTCTCTGGGTGCCGTGGTGTCACATCTGTGTCCACTTCGAGCCATCGGCTTGTTAGCTGCTGTCTCCGGCTCTTTTCCTTTACGCTGACATCTGCATCAGCGCCCTTTTCTATACTGTAACTGTAACGGTAACATGGAACGTTCTTGTCATGCTTCTTTCTCACCCTTCTATAGCCCACTTCGTACCTTGGTCCTTGGGGATTCGGAGCATCAGGAGCCTCCAGTTACTGAAGCTATTCCTTGGTACTTACAGGATCATGAGACTTGGTAATTGGGGTTACAAGTAAGATAGATACAGTTACAAATGCTTATAACCCCAATTAAGGTACTTATAACCCTGCTTACTAAGTCCCATGATCCTCCAAGTACTTTCGGGCTCAAACCCTGACTACCCCAAACACCCAGAAGACAACTTGAGAAGAATTATGGTATAATATACCCCCCCAGGCGCTATTCTAGTTTTCTTGAGGCCTTAAAATTCAGGGCTTTTGAAGGGTTCGATCGGGATTTCGAGTTCATTGGATTAGTGCTGTGTTTTTCGAAGTTCAAGGGTTTAGGGGTTTCGGGGTTTAGGGGTTTAGGGGCTTGGGGTTTAGGAGTTTAATATAGGCACCAAAATAATTATCAATAGTACTTTGGGAGTTCCTTATTAGTGGGCCCCAAAACCCTATTCTATTTATTAAGGCCCTATATTAGGGTTTTGGGATTGAAGCCGTAGGGGGCGGCGAGACTCCAAAGCCGTAAATCCTCAACGGACTTTGACTTTCTGACCTACCCAGAGACTCCAATATCCTTTAACAAAGGAATATACCTCAAATTAGAGTAGGATCCTTAATATGATTTAAGGAATATCCCGTAGTAAAGGGATATGGGAGTCTCTGGGTACTTTTATAATTCTGGCCTTAGCTGTGGGCTGTAACCACGAGACTCCTGGGGTTTAGCTTATCATAGGTTGAGGTCTATGGTACTAGGCACATTTGGGGTTAATTTAGGTCAGGGTGTTCCGGCCTATATGCTCAAATTAAAGACCGCACCCTCATCCCTAAACCCTGAACCCAAGTAATTCAAGGACGCTTCCTGTGTTGATGGGTATTAGGCTCTTGGGGTAAGACTGCCGAATCGAGGGGATGACAGATGTTGTTGAGGGTTTACCATAGGGTGTATTTATGGATTTAGGGTTAGGGATTTAGGGTTGAAAGGTTTAGGGTTTACGGGCTGAAGATTTAGTGAGTCATGACAGTACCATGGGTCCTGGGTCGTTTCTTTTTCGAACGTCTTCCATAGAATGCCAAAAAAAGATTCCGCTGAAGAGGGGTACCAAGTATGGAGCACATGCTTGATTGCATAGGAGCTTTACCCATGACATAGCTACTTGTAGTACCGGCCAGTACTTAAAGGATCATGGGACTTCGTAAATGGGGTTATAAGTAAGGTCGCTACAGTTATAATTACTTAACCCCAATTAAGGTACTTATAACCTTACTTACTAAGTCCCATGATCCTCCAAGTAGGGTAGGTTTGGTTTTGGGAGTGAATTCTTGCTGGAAGAAGCACCAAAAGTCAACGGGCCCATATTGTGCTGCGCATCTTTCTTGCATTCTGCGGCCAGGGAGCCAAATGCCTAATATAGGGGCCTTCATAATTACTAATACTATTTTCGGGATAACTTACTCTAGTTCTAGTATAATGGGCCCCCAAACCCTATTCTAATTATTCAGGCCCCTACAGAACCTCAGCTTAGTTCCCAAGCTCCAAGTCATAAGCACCACTTTCGACAGCACTGTAAGGAGACTTGTGGTGCCGCAGCATCTGATGGCCTCCAGCAGTCGCAGGTGAGAAAGGCCCAAGGCGCAGACAGCTCCACCACCGAAGTGCGACCAGAATTCCCGAACCTAAGAACTGATGCTCCTTGAGTCTTCATCGAGAGTGATGAACCCAAGGAAGAGACCTGATCTTGAACAGGGGTAATATAGGGGCCTTAAAACATCACCAATACTATTTTGGGGCTTCCTTGTTTTAGTTAGAATATAATATACCCCGAAACCCTATTCTAATCATTAAGGCCCCTACATTAGGTTCCATGATGTTGGGAATTTGAGGGCTCTCGATAGTTCCCACATTTCATTTCCAATCGCACGTCACGCGTGCATACGGTAGCTGGTGCGAAAGCTACCTTGGATTGCTTTAACAATTCGCTGGCTTCTTGCGGTGGCCTCTGCAACATTGTGCTGGGCACTGAACCCACATTGCAAGCCAGCCACCATACAAGCCTGAGTAATTTCCTGATACAAATATACAGTGTAAGAACCTCCAGAAACATGTTCTAATGATTCGAGCCCCTGTACTATGAGTAATTCTGTGGACTGTTGAAATCGACACCTAGTAATGATTCAGGGCCTTGTAATATAGGGGCCTTAATCATTAGAATAGGGTTTTGGGGCCCATTATACCATAGTTATAATAAAGAACCCCACAATAGTATAGCTAATTGTTTATACCCCTATAGGAGTATTCCTTTATCCTTAAGCCCTAGAGCCTTGAGCAAAGCCTTGCACAAGTCTTGCCGTTCGCTCAGCAACATGGCTGAAACTGCGGCCTGCAATTTAGAGAGGTTTGGAAGAGATCGCTGCGGTTCAAGCTGATGGGGAATGCTCACCCTAAGCCCTAAACCCCAACCCCTAAGCCCTAAACCTTAGTCCCTAATCCCTCAGCTCGAAACCCCAAAACCCTATAGACGAGTTTCTCTAAACGCACAACACCTGCCTCCAGTCCAGCCGAAGCTCAGAAACCTGAAACCCAAAGCACCTCGCCCTTAGCCCTGCCTAAACCTACTACACCCTACTTTTTTGTAGGTTCTTATTATCAACCTTTATATGGGATTTATAGGGACCCTACAAGAAAGTAGGTTTTGGTAGGTTAAGGTAGACGCTAAACACCAAGTTGACTCTAAGCCCCAAGCAAGTTGACCCTAAACCCCGAGTTGACCCTAAGCCACCTAAACCCTGATCTCTAATGCTTTGAACCTTAGTCCCTAGGTCCGAAAATCGTTTCCGGATTCCTTTGGCCTTTCTTCCGCCTCGCTCTAATTCGGCGCTCGCACGCTCCGGGGACGCGGGACGCATCGAAAACTCCCGCGCTGCTGCGGTGACTTTGCAAGGGCTTGAGGTTTTTCGTCAGGGGTGCCTCATATAATTCCCTACGTGCTCGCCTCACTCTCAAAAGGTTCGTCTGACATCTACGGCTTTTGTGTAGTTCTGTTCCTGTCTGCAGAAGCCTGGGCTTACGACCCAAGAATCTCGACGAGACCTGATCTTCTAGACTTCTAGAACCCCAGAAATCTCTTTGATCAGCTAAAGTCCTGTCGATGGGTTTTGTTAATATTGATCTTTACAGAGTTATCATAGGGGTCTAAGCCCGGCCCGCCCAAGCCCCCCCCTCGGTTATGGGTCTTTAGGATAAGTTCTGCAGAGATCTCCTGTTTCATACGGACCCTGAACCCTAAACCTTAAACCCTAAACCCTAAACCCTAAACCCGAAACCTTAAACCCTAAACCTTAAACCTTAAACCGTTCATTGGGCTTCATAAGGAGTCCGGGGCGGCCTTCGTAGGTAGCTCTGCTTGGAACCCCAAAATAGGAACCCAGAGATTCCAATATCCCTTCATTAAGGAATATTCCTTAAATCATATTAGGGATCCCACTAGAATTTAAGGTATATTCCTTAATTAAGGTATATTGGAGTCTCTGGGAACTTACAAGAAGGCTTGCTAAGCCCCCGAACCCTCTAAGTGTAGTATAGGTTCGAAGTCCGCGGCCCGAAGGGTTTTGTGTGTAGTGGAGGGAGTTGAACTCAATGAGATGGTCTTGATGGTTGAATACATGGGGCTACTATAAGGTCCTTAAAAGGGATCTATAGGGTTCCTTAAAGGGATCTATGGGGTTTAGGATTTAGGGTCTGCTTAAAGGCTCATGGGACTTAGTAAGTAAGGTTATAAGTAGGTTATAATTAGGATAACCCCACTTAGGGGACTTATAACCCCAATTAAAACCTATTTACTAAGTCCCATGATCCTTTAAGTAGGGTTTTGGGCCAAGATCCAGGGAGCAATCAAGTCTTGCACGTGCTCGAAAGCTGGTGAAGAGCTTTGGTTGCAAGGGTACGGTAGGGTTCCATAATTCCATAATGGGTTCCTTAAAGGGATCTATAGGGGTTCTATAATGGGGATTCATGGGACCTAGTAAGTAAGGTTTTAAGTACCTTCGCAATGTCACTGCGGGCGTTGGCCTCTGCATACCCCTGCCCATCGGCGGTTCTAAGGAACTGTAAATACTTAAAGGATCACGGGGCTTAGTAATTGGGGTTATAAGTAAGGTAACTACAGTTATAGTTGCTTATAACTTTAATTAAGGTACTTATAACCCTACTAAGTCGCATGATCCTGCAAGTACACGAACATGGACAAGTATTTGGTCGAGATCTTGGATCAAGTCGATGAGGAGAGCCTGGAGTCACTCCGACTGAAGGAGGAAGTCCAAGCAGCTGCTGGAGAGTTGCCGGAAGACTCCAAGGGCTTTTCGTTGCACATGGCTTGAGGGTGCTACAGTAAAGTTACAGGTTGGCAACCCTAGAGGATCAGGGCTTTCTAGTGAGGCGATAAACCACCTCAATTCGGGTTATAAGTTATGATACCTAGAGTTATGTTATTTGTTTAGACTCAGACCTAGTCACCAAGTCCCATGATCCTTTGAGCAAGCTGTACTACAGCTGCACGCTCTTAAATTGAAGGCTTCTTCCTATGTACATGCTCTTTCATGGAGTTCCCTTGAGGGTTCCTATTCTACTGGGGTTCTATGTAAACCCAGACCCTCACAGGACCGACCGTACCCAATCCATGTTGTGTCAACTGAGTAGACTTCGCTGATAAGGCGGAGACCGAGAGCTGGTTGCCGAAGCTTGCTGGGCAAATGGCTGCTGCCTCGGATGGGGTTTGGGGGTTTAGGGGTTTAGGGTTTAGGATTTAGGGGTTTAGGGTTAAAGATTTAGGGTTTCGGGTTTAGGGGTTAGGACTTAGGGTTCAGGGGTTTGGGATTGAGGGTTTAGGGCTTAGGGGTTAGGGTTTAGGGTTTAGGATGTAGGGTTTTGGTGTTTAGCCGTTTAGCGGTTATAGGGGGGTTTGCGGGGCATTTTAATCGTAGGTTCCTAGTGTAGCTGTAGTTTGCTTATCAGTATGAATGTGTTCGAATTGTTGTGTACTCATAATACTCATAATTGGGTCCAATTATTAGATATCGCGCCATTTTCGGATAGCTATAGGGCAGTGGCAACTGTAGCATGGTCACACGAGAGCTGAACCATGGTCACATAAGCATGCAGATTCGAAACATTCCAGAACAACAGAGGGACAGTCTTACTAGTTATTCTGATGGTTTCTCGCCTCAGCTGCCGCTGCTACAGCGGTGAGAGCTGCGCTAGTCATCGGAGTCCGTTGTTGCTGCTGGGGCCGTGGTTGCTGCTGTTGCTCTGGTTTTAGGTTTGCAATTTTCTGGTGTATGCTGGCGCATGAGTATGCATCTACGGTACAAATACATGTGTGCCTGGTATTTGCCAGGGCTCAGCTGCTGCAGCTTTTGGACGGCTGCCGCCTGCCCAACAGTTTCTGAGCAAGCCAAGACTTGACCACTCGGTGCCCAGGCTACCCCCTTTGGCTGTGGGTGCCAAGGGTAGCAGCACGACTTGGCAGTTCAGGGTAGCCCTAAACCCTACTTGGAGGATCATGGGACTTAGTAAGTAGGGTTATAAGTACCTGAATTGGGGTTATAAGCGATTATAACTGTAGTTACCTTACTTATAACCCTACTTACTAAGTCCCATGATCCTTTAAGTACACCCTAAGCTCCAACAGATGTGATGTTGGCGACTGGGCACCAAGCGGCGCACACGTGGAGCTCCTGGTGACAGTGATCTTGAGACGTGGCCCCATGGAACGGTTCGCCGAGATTTACAAGACGGCTTTTCACAAAATTGCGAATGTCTTACGGAACCAAAGGACAAGTAAAGCCGCCGTGGGAACAGCCCTGCCTTGGTTCAGGTTTCCAGATGAACACTTAAAGGGTTATGCGACTTAGTATCTTGAGGTAGGAGTAAGGTAGCTAGTCTTACAGTTACATTTTACTTCAAGAAAGGTACAAAAAGTCTTACTGAAACAGTGCCCTGATCCTTTAAGTAGGTTTTCCTGATGTGGCTGTACTGCACTACACCCCAAATCCCTATTGTAGGGATAAACACCTACAAGTCCCTTCCCCTTAGCTGTACCTAAAAATAGTTTTTAACTTTTGGTTACAAAATCCAGAACAAGAAGCAGCTAGAATTATAATGTTTGCTAGGGGCCTAAGTTCAGCATAGTCTCTCTCACCCCTTTTCACCCCACCCACTTAAGGCTTCTACTCAGCAGCCCCTTTCGATCCGGATGTCTGCCCCAAGGGTTTCAAAAATCTAGTGATCTTTCTCAAAGTGGCTTCTTGCAAGTATGCAACAAAAGACACCGAAAAGCCTATGCTAGTTAAAAATGGGTGTCTCTGTTAGAAGGGGCCCCCACCCTGTAATAGTGGTATAATCGGAATTTGATAGTGCCGTAATAGAATCCTTATAGTCACTATTACAGGGTGGGGGCCCCTTCTAATGTCTATGTCACAACCCCAGACCCTCAATCCTCCAACTTTGAGCCCTCGAGGCAAAACTCTGGATCTCGGGTATAGGGTTTGGGGCTTAGGGTTTACCTTAACCCCAAGTAACCTACCTTGTTAAGGACTTATATAAAGAAATCATATTGGGGAACCCTAAAAAGGTAGGTTCTTTAGGGTGCAGGTAAGTTTAGGTGTCTAGCTAGCGGACCCTTGTTCAAGAGGTCTAGCGCTGCAGCATGCGCCGCCCGAGTTACGGAATGACTGGGAGGCGCGTGCATTCCGGACATACAGGGCATATACGGCTTGGTAGGTTTCTATAGCGCATCGAGACGGCGTTTATGCGGTTTGCGTAAGCTTGATTGGAGTTCTACGTCGTTGTTTACATGACTTTATAAGGCTTTTACAGGTTTCTGTAGGGCCTCTGCAGAGTTGCACGTGGTTGATATAGGCTCTTTTCGGGGTTTTCTTGGGCGATCAGGGGCTCAGTCGGTCAGGTCGAGAGTATCTGAATTGAGAGTACTTGGAGGGGCAGGGGACTTAGTAAGTAGGTTATAAAAGGGTTATAATTGGGGTAACTCCATTTAGGGTACTTATAACTCTACTTATAACCTATTGACTAAGTCCCCTGCCCCTCCAAGTGGGGGTTTAGGGTTGAAGTGTCGTTACCTGACTGGTGCTGAAACTGTTTGTCTAGCAGCTAGGGGTCCACTAGGTCCCATGATCCTTGAAGCCTTAAACCTTTATAGATCCCTTCTAAAATCCTGTTAGCATAGGGTTTAGGGTTTAGGGTTTAGGGACCTGTATTGATCCCTTCCAAAATCCTGTTAGCACCTTTAAAGTTACTAAGTCCCATGGTCTTTCAAGTAGGGGATCGTTTAGGAACTCTCGGGCAAAAGGGGTTGAACTGTGGCCTTTAGGTTCGAGGTAGGGTTCAGGGTTCATGGGTTGGGGTTTAGGGGTTCAGGGGTTCAGGGGTTTAGGGGTTTGGGGGTTTGCCCGGTTTCCGGAAGTCTAGGGGTTCGGGGATTCAAGTGTTTAGGAAGGTTTTGGGTTTGGTGGTTTAGGGCTTTAGGGCTTTAGGGAAGTTCAGGAGTTTCGGGTTCTGGGGTTTGCGGTTAAGGGCGTTAGGGGCTTGAGATCGCAGGAAATCAAGGGTTGAAGCTCGGTGATCCTTGTAGCCATTCATAGGATTTTTAGAGTCTACACGGCTCCAAAGAAGCACAACGAGGTATCCCCTAAACCCTAAACCCAAATCTACACCCTTACAGCTAAGCGCCGTGAAGTCGGGATATGATTGTGAAGCGTTTATCCACATTTACGCAGCACGCCATATCGCACTAGCAATACTGTTACCAACAACAACAACAACACTGACACGAATAATGCTACGCATCTTCTGGTAATAAAGATAAGAATCACTCTCAGTCTTCAGAAGAAGACGAATCATAATAGTGTACTTAATGGAAGCATTCTTTGGACTCGTTGTTCTTCAAGGGACATTGGGATCTGAGGGAATCTGCCCCGAGAGAGGTCGTCATGTGCGCAGTTTCCAAGAGTGGCAATGCGCTGATGTTCGAGTCCGAGCATTCGCTGGCTGTTCAGAGGTTATGGACCTAAACCTCTAAACCCTAAACCCCGAAACCCTAAACCCTAAACCCCTAAACCCTAAACCCTAAACCTCTAAACCCTAAACCCCCAAACCGACCAACAGCACCCTCAATCGTTAACCCCCTTCAGGTTTTGTGTCTCGGTGCCCTGCAGCCTCGATCCCGAAGCCCCAAAACCTTGCAAGCGCCTTGCTTTGGAGATAAAGGGGGCCTTCATATTTTGAACAGGGGTTTGGGATTTAGGGTTTAGGTTTAGGGGTTTGGGATTTAGGGTTTAGGTTTAGGGGTTTGGGATTTAGGGTTTAGGTTTAGGGGTTTGGGATTTAGGGTTTAGGTTTAGGGGCTTGGGATTTTGTCTACTTCTCGCTTGCTTAGGGAACCTTACAAATCGTTACCAGTACCACTGGTTCCGCTCTATACAGTTCGGCTACCAGCCAGGCAATAACTACATGTAGTCGATATTTTGTAATAACAGTGAAGAGCGCACAACCATTGAGGAATAACATAGCTAAGTCCGCTTTTCTCGTGCAAGAGGAAATCCTTGAGCTTGTCGCCATGGTTGCTAGGCACGTTGGGCAGGAAGAACTACTGTTCATGGTATAAATCCTGCATTACCCATAATAAGGAATATACCATGATTCCCATAGTTTAGGGTCCTTAAGGTCATGCAGGATTTATATAATCAACCGTAGCACGAAACCCTAAAGCTCAAGCTTCGTTGGATACTGAGTGGGACAAGCTGATGGCCAAAAGGGCATGGGACACGGATCCTGTCAGGAAAAGGGCATGGGACACGGATCCTGTCAGGGAGTGAGAAGCAGTTTCAAAGAAGGCTCATACGCACACGTGCAAGTAGGCAAAGGCTTCGAGATCTGTGTCGAAAAGGGCACAGAGCTACCAGAAACGGACCCACTCGACAAATTCAAGGGTCGCACTGTGTTTCAATGGAACAATGTCAAAGACGAGAACAATGACGCGGCTCTCTTCAGTGAGATGGGATCTAGTGCGGCCACAATGGAAGCTGGCAAAGCCTTGGTTGCCTAAACCCTAAAAAACCCTAAACCGTCTGATTCTCAAATCAGCTTTGTAGATCCATCTGCACGAAAGCAGCGTGCACCACAGAGAAGCGACGAATCAAGCTAACAGTAGCACTAGTCAACCATACACTACTATGACCAACAGCGATTATGGCCACGGTATAAGTCAGAAGAACATGGGAGTTTCCGAGAATTGGGGACCCTAATATAGGACCCTAGATAGCAGGATTCTTATTATCAGGACCCCAAAATAAGGTACCGCTAATTTTCGGAAACTCCCACATCAAGTCCATGAGCAATAACAACTAAAGCAAGCAAAATGCCTCCAAGTGCTTGGAAGGGCAGGGGACTGAGTAAGTAGGGTTATAAGTAGGGTTATATTTGGGGCGGTACTTATAACTCTAATTATAACCTACTTACTAAGTCCCCTGCCCCTCCAAGTGCGGGATGCTTGGCACGTAGAATGCTAATTCAGGGTGCGCCTTACGATGCCGCGTACTCAAGGTGCTTAAGAGGATCTTCTGTGCTAATTTTTCAGAACCTGTCCAGGGCTGACTTAGCATTGAATCCTTGCAGACTTGAAGTCCTAAATTCAGAGCCCGGAGTTATCTCAAGACTATCCCCAACCTCGGTTTCTCGCTATTCAGCTTCTTCTTCCTCTTTCGAAAATGCCGAACCCCGAACTCTGCACCCCCGTACGCACCCAACCCTGACCCCTACTTTTTGAACGTTGGAGATCGCAAATCCTTGACACCCTTAGCTCTTAGCTGCCGGTTTAGGGTGTAGGGCAAGCTCCTCTACACCCCGTCGTTTTCCTACAATCGAGAACACGCAAAAACCCGCAAGGACTTGGATAACACCTCCGAATTCAGAGGTTGTGCAGCATCCTGAAAATCACGCCCCGCACCCAAACGCCCCTGCAACAAAAAGAATTGTAATCTAAAAGACACACCAGTAAGTAAAATCCAACATTTCAAAAATCGCAAGCCTCTGCCAGACCCTACCACCCTCGACACCCCTTCCCTAAAGAAGATCACACACACACACACCAAGGACTCCAACTTTTTGAACTGAGCCTTCCTGGAGAGTTGTGCAGTTTCGTTACAATGTAGACCGAGGAATGAGTAGTAGTGTCCGCTTAGGAAGTAGGTTGTAAGTAGAGTTTTAAGTACCCTAAAAAGAGTTACCCCAATTATAACCCTACTTATAACCTACTTACTAAGTCCCCCGCCCCTCCAAGTAATGCTTCCTTTATTGCAAAGGCCTGTTTTAATTGCGGCCCCTAGCGAATCCTCATGGGTTCGTTGAAGGAACGTTTATGGTACCCTTAGGGACTGTTGATGATATGAATCCTGCATTACCTTAAGGATCCTAAACTATGGGAATTACGGCATAGTCCTTATTATGGGTAGTGCAGGATTTATATCATCAACCGGATCACGGTTCCAGCTATCAATTGAGGCACCTGAACCCTGAAAACCCTAAAGTCTAAACCCTAAGCCTTGAAGCTTAAACCCTAAGCCCCTAGACCCGCCCCATAAAGCCCTACAAGCCCTGCAAAAGCCTCAAAATCGACACAACGGCAGAATTCTCCATGTCGCCAAACCCTAAACCCTGAACTCTAACTTCTAAACATCCCTAAACCCTGAACTCTAAGTTCTAAACAGCCCTAAGCCCTGAACTCGAAGTCCTAAACATCCCTAAGCCCTGAACTCGAAGTTCTAAACATCCCTAAGCCCTGAACTCTAAAGCTCCAAAAGCCCAAAGCCCTGCCAAAGTGGGCCCAAAAGCCCCTCAAGTTCAGACCCCAAACCCTAAACCTTAAACCCTAAACCCTAAACCTCAAAACCCTAAACCCCAAAACCCTAAACCCTAAACCACTAAACCTCAAAACCCTAAACCCCAAAACCCCAAACCCTAAACCCTAAACCACTAAACCTCAAAACCCTGAACTCCAAAGCCCCAAGTGCTAGACCCCAAGCCCCAAACCCTAAACGCTAAAGCTCTAAAACCCTGAAAGCCCCACCAAGGTGGGCTTCCTCGGAGCTCCAGGCGGACCGGGAGGCTCCAGATTTCTTGATGCTAGGCTCCTGAGACTCCGATATTCCTTAACTAAGGAATATACCTTAAAGGGCTCCTTAAAGGGATCTGTGAGGGTTCTATAAGGAAATTAATTAAGGAGTATACCTTAAATTATTGTAATTGAGGAGGGTTCCTTAAAGGGTTCCTTTAACCGGATCTATAAGGGTTCCTCCTATAAGGGTTCCGATAAGGGATCTATAGGGTTTAGGGTGTAGGAGACTCCAGTATTCCTGAATTAAGGAATATACCTCTAAGGGTTCCTTTAAGGGCTCCTGAAAGGGATCTATAAAGGTTCTTTATGGGAATTAGTTAAGGAATATACCTTACATTATGGTAGGATTCCTAAGATGATTTAAGGAATCTTCCGTAACTCAGGGATATTGGAGTCTCTGAGGGTTCCTGAGTAGCAAGCCTCCTTGACCTTCGGGAGAATGGGGTTTAGGGTTTAAGCGGGGTTGAATCGGGTTTAGGGTTTAGGGTTCAAGATTTAGGGTTTAGGGTTGGTTCAAAAAGGCTTGGGTTTAGGGTTTAATGGGGTTGAATAGGGTTTAGGATTTAGGTTTAGGCTTGGGCTTAGTGTAGGAACCTGATGAAGACACCCTGGGCGTTTAAGAGGGTTCTTTATATGAGTCCTAATATATATACTATAGGCTTATAGGGCACTTTTTTTTTTATAATCAGGTTCCTACATTTCCCTTGCTTCGTCGGGCCCTAAACCTCTAAGCCCAAAGCCCTAAACCCACCCTAAATCCTAAACCTCTTAACCTTAAACCTTAAACCTTGAGAAGGGTTATATAGAAGGCTGGACTGGGTCGTATTTTCAGTGCTTTAAGATAGAGTTTTGTTTATACGAGGTTCAGGGTTTAGGGTTTGGGCTTTGGTGCTCTTGCGACTGTGTTTTTTACATGGATTTGTGGTTGTGTTGTTTGGGTAAACATTGAACCCTGTCCGATATCCCAATAGACCTGGATTCATAGGGACCCTTAGGGGTGTAGGGGGAGGGGGGGTAGGGGGCCTTAATGCCCATAACAAGGACTAATAAGGCCTATTTAAGGAAATATAGTCCCCTACCCCCCTCCCCCCGACACCCCTAAGGGTCCCTATGATGGATGTTGTCTTGTTTCTCATTACAGGGGGCTCCAGGTTGCAAACATCGAGGCTAGCAGCACTCACTAGAAGGATCAACGAGCTTTATATATGTATATATATATATATATATATATATATATATATATATATATATATATATATATATATATATATATATATATATATATATATATATAAACAAGTCGCATGCGGATGTTTGATATCCCTGAAGTCTGGTTTTGAGGCGTGCTCTTTTTTTTTTTTTTCGGTTGTTCGGCTTCGGGGTGGTTACCTTTGGAGTTCTTAGCAGAGGAACCCCGATGAGGGTACCTACATCCCAAGTCACATGGTTCCGTTGAGCCACATCTCTTAGGGTTTAGGGTTTGGGGTTAATAGTCCAGGGCCGGCAACGCTAGCGTGCGGCTCGATTTTGGCACGGTCGTGCTTTCCGATATTGAGATCCCTCTTACGGAACATGATGGGAGGCACCCCATACGGTTGATGACATAAATGCTGCATTACCTGCAATCAGGAATATACCATACTTCAAAACCTCCAGAACACCGTGTGAAACCCTACACAGCGCTCCTATCTCCCATAGTACATGTATAAAGCCTTTATAAACCCTTGTGCTGACCGCAGGTTGTCCTCAAGGCCGTCGAGGAGAACGGTGGGGCTCTGGAGTATGCCGCGCAGGAATCGCAGGGGTTGCGGAGGCTCCTGTTATGAGGGGAGGTGCGACTATAATGTAGTTTCTGACTCGAGTCTAAGGTTCACAGCTTAGGGTCGTCGTCGTCATCATCATCATCAGCATCATCGCCCCCATCAGCATCATCATCGTCACCATCATCATGGCCATTGTTATTGTCCTCCAGTCCCGGTCATGCTCATCCCTGCCAACAGTCCGGTTGGTCGATAAGGGGAAACTGCTTATCCTTAAGCCTTAAGCCCCCAACCCTCATCCTTGGGCCCCAAGCCCTGGCCTACAATCTTGAGCCCTAAACCCTGCAAGGCATTTTCCAGACGGCAGAACCTGCAGTAGGGAAAAAGGGGCGTTCAAAAAAAAAACTAAGCCCCACAACCTAACCCGAATCCCTCACCCCTACATTCTCTACCCAAGCTGTTTCGGAACATTCAGGGCTCTATTTTAGGCTCCGAGCCCCGGAAGACCCAGAATGTCCCGAATAAAACGAGCTTTGGGATTAGGGTTTTGGGAGTTTAAGGTTGAGGGTTCAGGAGTTTAGGAGTGTAGGGTTTCGGCCAAGGGTTTCGGGGCAGAGGAGTTTAGGAGATTAGGGTGGTTTAGGGTCTAGGGTTCAGGGTTTAGGGCCCCACCTGAGCCTGAAAAGAGGCATTCAGCACCCTAAACCCTAAACCCAACAACGGCGAACTACCGCAGTAATGACTCCGTCAACTCGACGAACTGTTGATGATATAAATCCTGCATTACCCACAATAAGGAACATACCATAATTCCCATAGTCTAGGGTCCTTAAGGTAATGCAGGATTTATATCATGAACCCTAAACCCCAAAAACCCTATAGATCCGTTAAAGGAGCCCTTATAGATCCCTTTAAAGGGACTCTAAATCAACCGAAGTACGCACAACAACACGGCCCTAGACTCTAGATCCCCAATTCTGCCTTTTGCAAAGGTTTGATTGGCATATGGGAGTTTCCGACAATTAGGGGTACCTTAGGGTTCCTTTAAAGGGTTCCTTTAAGGGCTCCTTGAAAGGGTTCTATATAAAGGGTTTAGGGTTTAGAGTTTCCGAAAATTGGGGGTACCTTTTTGGGGGCCTTATAATAAGGATCCTACTATTTGGGGTACCATATGAGGGTCCCCGATTTTCGGAAACTCCCATATCTAGCGATTGCAGACCACAGTCACAGGCTTTGGAGTGCGCAGCGGATGTCAAGGAGTCGCAGCCAGATGTCTTGGTGTCATTCGGCTCATCCGAAACTGCTGTTCTTGCCCACTATTACGCAGTCCGCCGTCGGGATGTGCACGCAGGCGTGGACCGCACAATTCCGCGCGCTCGATGCAGAGGAGCAGAACTGGCTCTATGCGCTTACAACTTGGATGCCAAACACCATGTCGAGAATCTGGTGTTCGTTTCGCTGTGCTGGACGAGCTTTTGAACGATGGACTTCATGTAGGATCGTATACTTGGAGGGGCAGGGGACTTAGTAAGTGGGGCTATAAGTAGGGTTATAATTGCGGTAACTCAATTTAGGGTACTTATAACTCGACTTATAACCCTACTTACTAAGTCCCCTGCCCCTCCAAGTAATCTTGATAGAAGCCCAAAATCTCTACACCCTAAACCCCCAAGCTCTCTCGCAATCTCGTAAGCCCCAACATGTCAGAATCCACAACCCTGAAGCCTTAAGCTTTGCAACGCAGAACGCTTAGGATTGACGAAGAGATTATACCGTAAACCCTAACCCTTCAACCCTGGCCCAGCTTTAAGCCGCAAAGAATTGGTAGTACTGTCCCCTTATAGCCCTTACGGTAATCCCTAAACCCTAAAGCCTGTAAACCCTAAACCCCTAAACCCCTAGCCCCAAGACCCTCTTCCGAAAATTGAGGCCTTGTCTCATTTGCTTTCAACGGCCCGGTCTCTGCATCCCTTACCCAGAGACTCCATTATCGCTAAAGTAAGGAATATTCCTGAAATCATATTAGGGGCCCTACTACAATTTACCGGATATTCCTGAATTAAGGGATATTGGAGTCTCCTAAACCCTAAACTCTATAGATCCTTTATAGGAATCCTTGTAGATCCCTTTAAAGGATCCCTTTAAGAAGCCCTTCTCAATTGAGGGATATTGGAGTGTGTGGGAAGCGCTTGCGCACACCAGGAGCTCCGATCGGCTCCCCCGCCGTGCTTTCTCGCGTGTCGGGTTTAGGGGTTTAGGGGTTTTGGGGTTTGGGGTTTGGGGTTTGGGGTTTAGGGTTTAGAGTTTAGAGATCCCAAATCTGAAGACCGAAACCCCCCGCCCCGAAACCTGATATCTCAGTAACCTGAAGCGTAAACATTAGAATAACTTTATCGGAACCCTAGACACCCCGAAACCTGCGCTTTCGAACCTAAACCCCGATAGTAGCCTTTTTAGCAAGCCTTGTCGTAACGGTTTTTGTCACACCTTTATAGGAGCCCTAAACCCTGAAGCTCTGAACCGTTCAACTTATAGTTACCCTAGGTATATAGTACCCTACTTAAAATCCTTGTTCTAGCTACCCATGAAACTCCAAGTAGGGTTATTGCGTTTTTAGGGCTTAGGGCCAGAAGCTCGGAAGCCGATTCAACTTGCACCCGAAACCCTAAACCCTAAACCCTATATGGGAGTTTCCGAAAACTAGGGGTACCTTATTTTGGGGCCTTCATAACAAGGATCCTACTATTTAGGGTACTATATTAGGGTCCCCTATTTTCGGAAACTCCTATAGAAACCCTACACCCTAAACCCGCTGAAGCGCTTCGGCTGCAGCCCTAGGTACTTGCACGATCAGGGCATAGCCACATGAAATTTGAGCCCCAATCGGGTACTTGGAAGGGCAGGGGACTTAGTAAGTAGGTTATAAGTAGAGTTGTAAGTACCCTAAATGGAGCTACCCCAATTATAGCCCTACTTATAACCTACTTACTAAGCCCCCTGCCCTTCCAAGTACTTTGTATCATACCCTAAACCCTAAACCCTGAAGCCCTTGCATACTAGGACCCCCGTCCCAAGCTCATTTGAGCTTGTTTAAACTCAAAGTTCGACAGTTTCATGTTTTGCAGATTTGGAATTGGACAATTTGTCCCGAAGGTTTAGGGTTTAGGGTGCAGGCTTGAAGCCTAAAAATCTGTGAATTTTGTGTGGTGGCCGAAGCTCCTAAACTCCATGGTAGCTGAACTCGAACCCCGAAAGCTCGAGCTCTCTCAGCTTCAAGCCCCAAACCGACCATCGAGAAAGCACGTCCTCCTTGCAATCCGCATGTAATAGGTAAGGTACGATGTATACCACCCTCCCTGCGATTTTCTTCTCTGCCAGGACCGTGGCATCGTCTTGACCGCCGTCCGACAGCGCGGTGCGGCGCTTCGCTATGCGTCCGAGGACCACTCACAGGATCGCGAGACTTACTACTCTGAGACTTCAAAACCCTTTAGTTAAGAAGGGTTTCCTCAGAATTTAAGATAACCTTAAACCCCTAAACCTTAAACACTGAAACCTTCAACCCTAAACTAATGAATTAGATGGTTTCCAGAAGGAGCTCCGGGCAGACCGGGAGATTGTTCTCGCCGCTGCGCGCCAGAGCAAGCGCTCCCTCATGTGAGCCCCTGCGATGGTTTTAGGGCTTAGGGTTTTTAGGGTTTAGGGGTTTAACGGTTTAGACGGTTTAGGGTTTCAGGATTCATATAGGGTTTAGGGGTTTTCGTTTTTAGAGTTTTAGGGTTTCAGGGTGTTGGGTCTGTGAGGGTCTAGGGATTTAGCATTTTGGGGTTTAAGGCTTTAGTGTTTAGGGTTTTAGGGTTTTGGGTTTAGGGTTTGGCGTTTTCGGATTTTGGGGTCTTGGGGTTTTGGCTTTTAGGATTGAAGGTTTTAGGGTGTAGGGTCTGTGGCTTAAGGATTAGGATTAGGGCTTTCATACGGGTGTATAAGAGGAAAACAGTTTTAAGGGTTCTACAGGGGTGTCAAGGTTGTGGAGTACAGGGGTGCAAGGCATAGAATAGGGTTGCTCGAGGGTTCTCCTGGGTATGTGGGTGTTCATGGGGTTTAGGGTTTAGGGTTCAGGGTTTACAGTATTGGGGCCTTTACAACGACTGGTAGAATGTTTCTGTACGGTTTGAATGCGTGCGATAAGGGTTCCCTTGACGAAACTATAAGGCCATAAGGTGACTAGGGGGGGTTAGGTCTGCCGAGTGTGGGGTTGGAGGGTAGGGTATATAATCCCTAAACCTTAAACCTGAAACCCAAAGCCCTAAACTCGAAACCCTGAGCCCTGAAATGCGGCGTATATACCTGCGAATCCCTGAACCATATAATCCTTGAACCCTAAACCCTAAACCGGTAGGGCGAATCCCCCAGGTATGCGGCAGATGTCTTGAAGAAGGACCCTGCCTTCATCCAAGAAGCTTCCAATCAGGCGCTCCGAAACCCATAGGGCTTTAGGGTTTAATTAGGGTTTAGGGTTTAGGGTTGGGCGTTTTCAGTCCCTAAACTACACCCCAAAAAAGCGCTATAGACTCAAACCGCAAACCAGTCCAAATCACGAGCACCTGACGGCAATTTTCTCCAGCCCAGCATTTGCAAAACACAAAGCTTGGAGCGCTTTCAGAGCTTTCAGTCTGGGCATTCCGGTTCAGGGGCTGAGTTCTTGAGGTTCAAGGGTTCGCGGGCTCAGGAGTTTGGGGCTTGGTGTTTAGGTTCGAGGGCTTGATGGTTCAGGATGTAAGGATTGAAGCCAGGACCAGGGACTATCAAACCTAAACCCTAAACCCTGAACCTAAACCCTAAACCTGAACCCTGAACTCTGAACCACTATATGATATGAACTCCCGTTGAAAAACTATGCCATGGGTTCGAGCATTGAAAACCAAAGACTCAAGCGGCCTGGCAATCCTTGGGGGACTTGGAAATAGTTTGTAATTATCGGATACCATAATCAATACGAAACAGCTCAAGTTGTAATTTTTGCGACGGTACGAAGTTCGGTTTAGAATCCACAACCCCCCAACACTGAATCCCAAAGCCCACATCTCAATAAAAAGCTGCTACTACAGACTGTACTACTACTGTGCGCCACTAGTACACTTTTGCTATACACTTCTGCACGACTATCTACCACTATATGCTCGTGCTATCTACTTCTGCTTTTCACTGCTACTATATACTACTACTCTATACTACCACCCTATACGACTGCTTTAAACTACGACTATCTACTGCTATACACTCTTACTTGGAAGGGCAGGGGACTTAGTAAGTAGGTTATAAGTAGAGTTATAAGTACCCTAACTGGAGTTACCCCAATTATAACCCTGGCTACTTACTAAGTCCCCTGCCATACTATATCCTGCGCAGAAGCCGCTGCCTCCTACGGTGGCGAGTGAGCTGCCGGCTGGTCGCGTGGATCCGACCGGGCCATACGGCCCCGGCCTGTAGAACCCTACCTGGGGGGATCATGGGACTCAGGGCTCAGGGTTTAGGGCTTAGGGTTTAGGGTTTAGGGCAAAGGGTTTAGGGCTTAGGGTTTAGGGTAAAGGGTTTAGGGCTTAGGGTAAAGGGTTCATGAAAAATTGGACTTAGAAGGGGTTTCTATAAGGGTACAATGGGGGTATTTGGAGGATCATAGGATTTAGGAGGGTCCTTAAGAGTTTCCTTAAAGGTTCTATAAGAAGTAAGTAGGGTGTCAGGGGTCCCTTTAAGGGATCCATAGGGGTACGATAAGGGTTTAGGGGTTAGAGTCTACTTGGAGGATCATGGGACTTAGTAAGCAGTATTATAAGTGCCATAATTGGGGCTCTATGTAGTTACCTTACTTACACAGCCACTTGAGACGTCCCATGATCCCTTAAGTAAACCCTAAACTCTAAACCCCGAAACCCCTAAACCCTAAACCCCTAAACCCCTAAACCCCTAAACCCCTAAATCCCTAAACCCTAACGATACCCCTAAACCCCTAAACCCCTAAATCCCTAAACCCCTAAACCCCTAAACCCCTAAACCCCTAAACCCCTAAACCCCTAAACCCCTAAACCCCTAAACCCCTAAACCCCTAAACCCCTAAACCCCTAAATCCCTAAACCCCTAAACCCCTAAACCCCTAAATCCCTAAACCCTAACGATACCCCTAAACCCCTTAACCCACAGGCTCCCTCCGACTCTGGGTTTCATTCAGACGCGTAAGCAGACGGAAGAGAGCCCACAAAAAAAGCCCTAAACCCGCAAGAAGCGGAAAGGGGCTTGGGGTCTTCAGCAAGTTCGGTGGGTCGCCGAAGTAAGCTTTAGGAGTCCAGGGTTTAGGGTTTGGAGTTTAGGGTTTGGGTTTAGGGTTTAGGTTTTCTGTAGCTGGGGTTTTATATTTGGATCATTTCGGTTTTTTGAGGGTTTTAGGAATGCATTCTGCCAAATGTGATTATTGGTGCCCTCCTGTCCGTTAAGGATTTTACTGTCTAGAGTTTTACATTTTGGACCCCTTCTTTGTTTGTAATTACATGTTCCCAGATAGCCCAAAGACTATAGGATCCTTAAGGGAGGGTGGTTCAAGGGGGGAGGGTATAAGGAATCCTTAGGGGACTGTAAGGGAACCTTAGGGAGTACTAGGGAGAATTAGGGATCACTAGGCTATGTACCCCCCTGGGACCCCCCTCCCTTAAGGATACTACAAAAAGACACCTGAATGAAACTTGGGGTTTTGGGGGTTTGTGGGTTTTTCTGGGACGACCCAAGAAAGGAGTTCTGTATGTTCGAAAGCGGCACGCAAGGTTGTAGTCCTCAAAACCTGAACCTGAGAGGAGGGTTGAGGGGGATTACATCCGACGTCCCTAATCCGAAGCCCCCGTTGAGACCTTCACCGTCATGCACGGGGAAATGAAGATCTGATTCGCGCCGAGGTGTCTGAAGTACCAGAGAATTTTTTTAGGAGGTAGCGGACGGAGGTGTCAAAACAGGTAGCTGTAGACGCCTACATAATTGCCTATATCATTTCTCAGCGTTCCTTTTTCTTATTTTCGTAAAATAATCCCACAACCCTATTCTAATTTAAGGCTCCTACATGAGCTGTCGAGCTTGGAGGGTGGCCACGGCTGTCGGAGTCGTCGTCTTCAGACTGTCGTGCTTTCATCAGTTTTGGGTGTAGGAGTTGAGGGTTCAGAGTTTAGGGGTTTAGGGTTTGGGGTTTAGGGTTTGGGAGTTGAGGGTTTAGGGTTTAGGGGTTTGGGAGTTGAGGGTTTATGGTTTAGGGGTTTAGGGGTTTAGGGTTTGGGGTTTAGGAGTTGAGGGGTTTATGGTTTAGGGGTTGAGGGTTTAGGGTGGAGGGTTGTCGTTGACCCCAAAACCTGACACTCTCCACGTTAAACGCCGTAACGTGGACCTGGCCAACAAACCACTTGACCTTGAAATGGATTACATGGGAGTTTCCGAAAATTAGGGGCAGCTAATTTTTTTGGCCTTATAATACGGCTCCTGCTATTTCAGGTGCTATATTAGGGTCTCCATTTTCGGAAACTCTCAGATTGGTGCTTGTACAGGGAGGAACCCATTCAAAAAGGTCCAGACTTAGCAAGGAAAGTTACACTGATTGGGGTCAGAAGCAAATATTGCCGGAGCTACCTCACTTGCAACCGTAGGTATCAAGTCCCCTGATCCTTGAACCCTAAACCGTGATAGCTTTCAGTTGCTAAGTCCCATGGGCAGCAAAGGAGTTCCAGTTGAGAATTTATGGCTTGCGCTTGAAATGTAGTGTAGTTAACAACTAGAATTAGGTGTTGGTGTTAAGGGTTCCTTAAAGGGTTCTGCAACGGGGCACCGCAGTTTCTTTCGCCATGAGCCCCCCGAAATTCCCAGGGTTGAGGGTTTAGGGTTGAGGGTTTAGGGTTGAGGGTTTAGGGTTTAGGGTTTGCATTGTTTATTGCCCTCGGTTACTCATGGAGAGCTGCATGGCAGAGCTGATATTGGCTCACAGGTTGGGCACATTGAGTGCATGCTCATCTCGCTGCGAGCCCCTATCCTGGGTTCCTCTTAAGAAATTTTGCTTAAGGGTCTAATAAGGATCTAGAGTTTAGGGTTAAGGTACCATAAAGAGGGAGCTATAGTACATGGTAGTGTTTCTGATTACGGTAACTTAAACTCCGTCAGAAGAACCCAGTATCTCAACCCAGAAGGCTGGGTTGTTAAACACGACGCAGGCTCTACTTGAGCCTTAACCCCAATGCCAACACCTAAACCCAACAAACCCTAAACCCTAAACTCTAAACCCCAAACCCCTAGAACCCTAACCCCTGAACCCTAAACCCTAAACCCTAAACTCTAAAACCCAAACCCCTAGAAGCCTAAACCCAACCTACATCCTAGACGCTGCACCCTAAACCGCAAGCCTTAAACTCCCTGCGTTCTGGAGAACCATACTTCAACACTCTTTTTGGGCCTGTTTTTTTTTATAAGGAACCATTACGGTTTAGGGTTTAGGGTTTAGGGTTTAGGGTTTAGGGAAATACAAGTCTCTATACTTTTTCCCCTTGGTTACTTCAAAGCCCTGAACCCTAAACCCTTGGTTACTTCAAAGTCCAGAGCACCATGGCTTGAAGCTCCGCCGTCCTCCCACCCCTGTCGGCGCTGCGGGCGATGTTGGGCGCCCAGACCACCGTGGGGAGTCCTTGAAAAAACACAAGGGTTTAGGGTTTACAGGGTTTAGGGTTGCAGTGTTTAGGGGTTAGGGTTTACGGGGCTTAGGGCTCAGGGTTTCGGGTTTAGGGATCCCCATTAAGTTTAGGCGCCGATATAATTACCGGTAGTATTTTGGGGGTGTTTCCTCGTACTGGCAGTCTGCTTTTTTTTTGGGGCCCTAGATTCAGGATCCTAGTATCAAGGGTATACCTTGAAGTCCGCTATGTTCTGAAATCCCCATGCATTCGAGAAGCTTTCTTCCCTGAGCCACACTATCATGGAAGTAGTTAGGCTATGTGACCTGGGACTTAGGCCTTAGGGTGTAGGGCGCATAAGTGAGGGTTTAGGCTTTACGGCATTGGGCTCAGGCTTAGGCTTTAGGGGGTACAGACTGCTTCTTCGAGAGTAGTGGGCAGTCTTCGGCATGGATGCATCTGCCGTAGCAGGCCAAACCCAAAACCCAAAACCCTAAACCCTCACCCCTAAAACCAAAATCCTAAACCCTAAACCCTAAACCCCTCAACCCTAAACCCTAAACCCCAAGGCCCTTAACGAAAAAAGCCCATGCCGCATTCCCGAATCCAAGCCCATGCCGCATTCCACTGAAACTCTGAACCCAAAGCCCTCCAAACCCCTGACGCCGAAGAGTCGGAACCTCATAGTTAAGGTTTAGGGTTTAGGGTTTAGGGTTTGCTTGGAGGGGCAGGGGACTTAGTAAGTAGGTTCTAAGTAGAGTTATAAGTACCCTGAATGGAGTTACCCCAATTATAACCCTACTTATAACCTACTTACTAAGTCCCCTGCCCCTCCAAGTAGGGTTTAGGGTTTAAGATTTTCATTCCAAACCTTAATAGGCCCGGTACCCTCCAAACCGCAAACCTCAAAAGACCGAGACGTAGTTGACGATCTCAGAGATTCCAAGATCCCTTAATTAACATTCCGTATAAAACTCATACTCCAATATCCCGTAATTAAGCAATATCCCTAAATTATAGTATATAAGATCCCTGATATGATTTAAGGAATATTCCTTAATTTAAGGGATGTTGGAGTCTCCTAAACCCTAAACCTTATCGGAACCCTCCAAGGGGACCCTGAAAGGAACCCTTAAAGGAAAAGGAACAACCCGCCGACCCCTTCTGGAAAGGACAAGCACGCCTTCTGTGCCGCGGGTGCGCTCCTCCAGGGCTTCCCTAAAGGGTCCTTTTAAGGGCTGCTTTGAGGGTCCTTTAGGGGCTCTTTTAAAGGGACCCGTTATGTTACCCTTAAGGCCGCCGTGCAGCTCGCGTTTTTGGAGCATCTACTTCGAAGATCATGGGGCTCAGAGTAGCTGAAAGGGTCCCCTCAAGGGTTCTGCAAGGGATCTATACGGGTTTGGGTTCAAGGGTCATGGGACTCAGCAACTAGGGTTATAAATAAGGTAAACTGTAGTTGTAGCACACCAGTTCAGGTACTTACAACAGTAGTTTCACAAATCCTTTAGAAACTTTACGGCAACCCTGTAAAACCCTGCGGAAGAAGAAGGATGGACCCTGTTGGTTCTTAGCCCCGAGTAGGAAGCATCGCTGAGAGGCGGATGCGTACAACCGCAAGGGATGATTTTTGTGAGCATGGTGACCATGATCAGCATGTGCAAGGGAACCAGCAGAAGCAGCAGCATGTGAGAAGCAGTTTTGGCACGTCTGGTATGTTTGGCTTGATGTCGCTCTTCATGGTTGCTTGCACTCCCACAGCCACCCAAGCCCCCAAACCAGGATTGAGATAATGGGTAAGGGGGG